GCAAGGCAAAATGATCTGCAGGTAACAGAAATGGAAAAAAATGAATTGATAGGGAGATCAGACTGTGACTAAATGGAAGCAAGGAGGCTGAAAGGCAGCATTTTAATAAGGGAGGTTTTTGTACAGTTTTTAGGTACATTTGGGCAGATTTGTATGGAACATTTTTATCCTGCAAACCATTTAAATTTCATTGATAAGAATGCACTTCATTGCTTCATTTAGAAACTTTGCTGGGGGGGGTTTTCCCCATTTGTATAAAAATAAGAACCATCTGTAGAAAAAAAAAAAAACAACAACAACAAAACAACCCAGAAAAAAACCCACAAACAAAACCTAAACATAACTTGTTTGTGTGACTGCTTTGCTGTTATTGTTTAGATTTCTAGGAAACAGATGCGTGGTTTTCGTTTGGGGAAAGCATACATCTGTTCCACCAAATTCTCTCCAGAAAGCCTTAATTTTCCAGTAAGAGCTTATTCAGTTGCATTTGAAAATAAGAAACTTTCCCCTCTATCATCTGTGTGCACACAGACGTGTTACAAGGAAAAATGGTCATTTTGAGACAGTGAGGAATTGTTTTCTCAGCAAATCTGTAAGAGTTTGCAAAGTGCTATATAGTAATTTAGGTTAGAAGAAGAAAAGAAGGTAGCAACAAATTTATGTTTGTAACCTCTGAAAGGATATCTGAAGCATTGGAGGTGTTTCAGTCTCATATTGAAGGGTGGCATACAATTTAATAAGGCTGAAATCAGTAAGATTGTGTAGAAATTCCTGTGTAAGCTTTAATAAAGATGTAATTCCTGTCTACAAATTGCTTAAACTGTTCAATGTAATTCTATAACAGGGATATTATTCTATGCAATGGTTTAAATATTTTATAGGTTATCATTTTCTGTTAAATTTACAGGTTTCCTCCAGAAGGGGAAAAGGGGAAGCCATTTTATGTATTAGCCTACTTTGGGATCTACTTCAAAAAAATTACATGGCATATTTTTCAATTGCTTCTTATATTGAGAAGAAATAAATACTACAACATAACTTGTAATAGCATGTGACTCATGTTCTTATGTGCCTATTTCAGGGTTTGGATTAAAGTATCTTCCATTAAGGCATCTTCCTTTAACTAGAGGATTTTTATCTTCAGCTGAGGAATGGAAAACGAAAAACAATGCGTAGTCAGTAGTCAAATCTTAGTGCAGAAGAATCTGGGTACATCAAGAAGAGTAACCCTATTAACTTGTTCCCCTCGGGGAGAATATCCTACAGTAGTGATGCAGTTTGGAAATAAATCTGAAGCAAGTGGACAGAGCAGCAGGAGGGCAGTATCAGGCTAATACAGCAGGAGGACAACACCAGCCAGTTAGAAAAAAATAAACTGGGTGAACTGTAGGGAGCTGCATATTAGAATTGCCAAGCTGAATGTTTCCTACTGCATATCCTAAATAAATTAGACCTGCACAGAAATGTAGGCAATGATAGCTCCCCACATGGCACAAATAGCAACTGAAGTGAAAGTTGTCCATGTGTTCTCCCTTAAAGCTCTGAATGTTCTGGTGGGGTGTCGCTTCTGTCCCATTTAAACCTGTTGCTATGAGCTAGCCCTGTGGATAGATGTAAATGTCCCTGTTGGTATTTTTTAATGATACTGCTGGTATTGCCTACATAGCAGTGAATTTCTTTCACTGTGACAAATACAGAACCCTCTGCTTTATATTCCCCTCTAAAGCCAGTGCTGGTGCCTTGTGGTGGTGGTTGTGTGTGACTGCTAAGGGGTGAGAGCACAGTAGGGAGGTCAAGGCTTCCTGGAGGAGCAGTGAGGAGGGAGAAACATCCCTGGATAAAGTAGAGAGTGAAAGAGCTCTGCCAAGTTCCTGCCACAGCATGTCCATTTGAGCCAACCTGCAGCCTCCAGACTTCTTCACACATGCCAGAAACTCAATGACTCAGTGAGCAGTGGAAATAAGTAGATGCCTTGAGTTAAAAGTGAGCACCCAAGTGGCAATACAGGACTGGGAACTTCTATGTAGTGCCAGCCTAATCGCTAACATTTCAGAAAGGGGTAGAAGAGATGGACTTGAAATACCCTGGCCTTGAGCATACTACCAGAATGGCACCTGGAGTAGGGCAGGTCGAGTCATCCTCAGCCTTTATCTTGCCAGAATAGACCCCAGCTCCCTTGATTTGTCATGCTAGCTAGTTTATGGCAGCTTGCATTAAAATACATTACTTTGCTCATTTATCCATGCTTTTGTTGCTCTGTTTCTAGAGGTCTGTGATGTTGGCTGGTGTTCCTTGGCCAGCCATTGGCAGTAACTCTGCCTGGATGTTGCCCACCTGCTTGTTTGTCCATAGATGCCTGATGTTTTGCCTGCTGTCATTCTGGCTATATCTTTTCCTTCTTCTGGGGCAGCTGGACTGGATGCAGATTGATTTGTTGCATGCAGTGCATTTCCTCCCCTGACTGCATACCTTAAGCTACAAATTATATTCTGAATTTTCCATTCCACATGGGTGCAAAGCAAAGCCTGTTGAATGCATCAGAAATCTCCTACTGATTTCAAGGGAGCATTGAATCATATCCTAAATCACTGATGCTATAGGGTTCATCACAAAGTTTAGCTCTTTGCTCAAAATACCACACATCTGGGAATATTTTCCAACAAATTATATTTTCCTAGATATGTCCTTGCTCCCGTATTGAGCTCCCATTTCTTAAGACTTCTGCTTCTAGGTCTCACTTCTTTTGACTGCCACTCTTGAGAATGTGTCTTTAACAATTTCAGCCTGACAAATGTTCCTTCTCGTAAAGCATACTGGTCTGTATTTCACTTTGCTGGAGTGCAAATGGCTTCCTGCTGCTGAAGAAAGTGCTCTTCCAAGGAAGACATCCCTTTAGTCTCCTGGGAATGGATCTGAATTTTTGAAAAAGCAAACTTCTCTGTTGTAGCTTTTAAAAGTTGCTGGAGTTTCTAGAGATCCCTGGGGCTCCTTTCTCTCCTCCCAGTAGATTCTGCAAGTCAGTGAGGCACTCAGCATTTTTTATTCTCTCTTTATTCCACTGCTTCACTGAGGAGCTTGATACACAGGGAGAGTCGGCTCACAATTGAGTCCCCAGTGGGTAAAGGTCCTTTAATAGTGTTTCTTAAATAATTACAGGGTTCTATTATACAGACTTGTACCATGTGTGCCTTTCTAATGCCTTCCTGTGAAATTCGGTGTTAAGCTGTGGCGTGTCAACAGCTGTCTTTTAACCATGCCTCTGGAAGAGGTTTAACACTAAGCTATAAAACATAATTTGAAAACTGACAGGCATTTTAGTCTAGAGCTATGCTTCTAATACTCTGATGTAATGAGTTGCTGTGATTAGGTTAGAGGACGACAGCAATAGAGATGTCATACAGATTTAGGTATTTGTTTTCTATTTCAATAAAGAAAAGAATATATGACCAAAGTTAATCCATCATAACACCAGCCTTGGAGGTTTTAGGATGAGTCCCATCAAGGCTGGAGGAGGGCAGAAATAGGATGCCAGGAGAAAGCCTCAGGATGTGTTCTGGGGACTATCAGGCAAAAGAGGTGGGCAGAGCAGTTTTGTGATGCTGATGCCATGCACAGACCCCAGCTCCTCCCACCTTGCAGCAACACAGCTGATGCAGAAAGCAACTACACTTGCAAAATTGAGGTGATTACATTACACTCTCAATTGTGTGGGTGTTGCTTCTCAGCAGTCTCTGTTTTCAGATCACCTAAGTGATAAAATAACTTGTTCAACTAGAAAAAGGGCAAATCTTATTTACAAATAATAGTAACGAAGTTTGAGCCTTTAAGCTTTCACAAGTAAAATAGTATCTAGCAACTGAACATAACAGGGATGATCTATGCTAAACCAATTTTAGGTTTATAAAAGCTATTCATGGACACGTCATTAACCTTCCAGCAAAACTGATACGGACTTTTGGCTGCTGCTTCAGTGACTGCTTTGTTACTTTTAGGACACACCTTACCACCAGGTCATGATTCTAAAGGGTTTTTTTTAAGACACTGGTGCCAACTGTCATTCACGATCTCTGGTTGTCAGAAAGTCTCAAATTTATCTATTAATTTAGTTATTACAATACTATATTAGATGCGGCTTGGTCTGTGGTTTTTGGTTTTGGTTTGGTTTTTATTTTGGTTGAGTTGTTGGTTTGGGGTTTTTTGTGCACTGCAAAGTTTTGCTGATATGTTCACTAATTTTGAAAACGGTGGCAGTGAATATTGTGTCAGATAACAGTCTCAACTGGTATTCTCTCTTTACTATAAGAAGCACATAAAAAAACTAAGCTTCCACAGTTGGGCTGTTGTGAAGCTGATCGAGGGAGTAAAGTACCTACAGGATAGATTTACTGTTGCTCTGTGGATAACAAACAGGCTTGCACTTTTCATAATTGCAAGGGGTTCTGCAGAGTGTGTCACTTCCTTCACAGGTTAAAAAGTTTGAATATATTACCTCAGGAGCAAGGGTCAGCTCTGCCAGGTTATTTTGAAAGATGGTTGTTTGGAATCCTGTGGACACAAGGTCTAGATCATCCAAGCCAGCCAAGAGAGAAATTCGGTGTTATACTCCCAAGACTAGACGAAAGAAATAGGATGGATATAAAAACAGAACATACTGAGTTAACAACAGAACATACCAAGTTAAATACAACAAAAACCCCAAACAGGTTAAGTGGGACCTGCTCCTTTTCAAAGAGCTCCTAAAATGTAGTGGATGATTGAGGTATAGGAAAGCAAGGCCCCTTTCTTCAGCCGTAGGTTGACTTTATCACTTGAAAAATATACAAAATTCAATGTAATTGAAGTCAGGTTAAAAGTAATTTATGTGCGTATGCTAATATGGAAATCAACCTTTCTGAAACTATTATTAAAAAAAAAAATAACTCCTCCAAAAATATTAATTCAATACTTTAGGAAAAAGTATTTCATTTTAAAAAGGCAGAAAGCTTCAAAGTCTGTTTTATTAGTGGGTTTAGATAATTCTCCTTGTTTTCTAGATATTCCCACAGTGACAAGAGTAGAAAACAGAGGTGCAGTACAATCGCTGATGAATGAGGAAAAAAAAAAATCAAAAGCAGGGAAACAAGTCTTATACACAATCGATGAAAAATTTACCTGCTTCACCTGGTACTTCACTATTGACTTTATATAATGTGGAAAACAATCATAACAGAAATAGTAGTATACAGTATCAGTAACTGAAAGCACCACAAATTGAGAGCAAACAACATGAAAAGAGAAAGTCACCAGTCCAGTCAGTCAATAAAATTCACAATTTTCAAGGACCATGCTTGAATCACTGTTATTAATCAGGCTCCCAATTTACAACAGATGATATTGTGCAGTTGGTGATTGATAATCCTTTCGGGCGTAATGTCGGTTCTTCCTTGAACCATGAAGGCACAGTTTGTGTGTGTTTGAGAACTCATAGATTGGTGAGCTCCACAGTTCACCAGCTGCCCAAATTACTTTCTATTGAAAAAAAAAAAAAAAAAAAAAAGCTTTCATTTAGGGAAGGGGAGGAACTAATTACTAATTCATAGTATTTCTCAGTTATTTTCTTTCCTTTTTTTTTTTAAGGTATGGACATGAATTTGCAACACACTGAATATAAATGTAAAAGCTATTAGAAGCAATTGTTCTATAATAAAACATAATGTTGCTAGAGCACAAACATCTGTCACTCATACAGGCATCATCCTGTAAACCCATCTAACTATCTCTGTTTTCCTTTCTGATTATATCGAGGTAGCTTGTGGCATGACAGTGATTTGAATGACAGGCATCCAACCTGGAACAGTGCTTTGCATACTCCTGTTTGTTTGCAGGGCCTCCTCGTGTTTGAAAGATTTAAATTTTAAAATTTGCTTTTATTGAGAAAAAGAACGATGAGGAAAAGGTTGTTACCTTGGAACTCAAAGTTATTGTGGGGCTCTGGCTTTCATAAAACTTTACCAGGTTTTTAAATTGACTTTTTTGTTTTCTAATGAAAAAGAGCATGAATTATTTAAATTTAGACCGCATTTTCTATATTAGAACCATACTATACCAATACAACAGAAGAGACAACAATCAAGACACAGTTTAACTTAATCCCCTTCCTCCCATACCTTAATTACAATCTTCAAAGCAGTTATAGAACCTCTATATTAAAGGCAGATTTTTTTTTCCCTATCTCCCTCTTAAGTTATTGTCGGATTTCTGGAATGCAGCTTTAATAAGTTTAATCAATGAGATTTTAATTTTTCTAAGTAGCCTCAACACCATAATCAAAATTGGTTAATTTAAAACTTCTAGACACAGAGCACCGGAGACTCCTGCATTTCAAGATAGCAAAAGCTCTTTTTATCTAAAATGTTTTTAAACTTTTGTTATACATCTCTTATAACAATTCTGACATGCCTGTGAACAATCAGACAGTTTTGTTTGTGGCTTGGGCATGACAAACTGAATACTTACGTTTCCAGTCCTGTTGGACCATATCTGTAGTTTCTCTGTAGTGTACCAGATATAATTGGTCACATATCCTGTATAAACAAAGCTTTCTGCCCCAAGATCTGCAATGTAGGTGAAATATGGTCCTTTGCCAATAAAACCATGCTCTCTAATGATACCAATCTGTAAGTTGGCATTTTGCATTATGTGCTTATTTGTCAAGCAGTAAATTGATTTGTTCAAGTGAGAAAGAATAATGTGGAACCTAGTAATCTTAAACTATTGTAGTGTATGACAGAAAGGTTTAGGTTGCTTATTTTCCAAAGGCCATGCTCTCATTTCAAATCTGTGCTCTTTGACCTGAAATCATAAAGAAGGGGAAAGAAAGGTAATTCCTACCTGATCATTGTTTCCCTACCCTGGGTGCTCTAATCTGGTATCCATCAGACAATTGGCATGGTCAGCTGACTTGCTGTCACAACTGCATCCATTTTCTCTCTTCTGCTTATGGCTTTCTGCAGAGGTAGCCTGTGAAGACCAAAGAATAGTATGTGAAGTGTTGGTGAGTATCTTGGGAAGGATTTTTACAAGTTAGGAGAGAAAGCTGTCTCGAGTAAAGTTACGAGGAAAAAATTAATTGAATGATAATAACGTCTAATCAATTTTAACTATTAGTTTCAAATTAGAGATTCAGTCTTTATATGATGAGCTAGAATATTTAATCATAAACATTCATCCAGAATACTGGGCCCACAAATATTCATAACTATATTTGACTATACTTTCTTGTCATAATCACTGATTCTTTGAGAACAGTGCTCCTTTTCACAGAAATAGTTTGTCTTGAACAGTTTTTTATTTTGAAACCTGTGTTACCTTAAATCATGTACTAAATTATTAGTGTCTGATACTTCCATAGTAATAATAAGACAGCCTTCCCCAGTGGCTTCCCCCTCCCAGATCTCAGTGATTTATGCCAAGTTCTGGAGCATGGGTTTATGTCATACCTATTATTTATTTTATTTCTCTTATATTATTGTTACTGTTGTAATAGAGCATGGAGTACCTTGTTGCAAACCCTGTGGGCACTGGTTAAAAAAAGAAAAAAAAGACTGTCCTTTCCTTGCTAAGTTTAAAATTACCCCATCCAAAGATAGAAACTGTGTGAGGAATACTAAAACCGTTGCAAGAAATAGCAACATAATAGTGAAATGATTATGCTTCCCATCGGTGAGGTAGTCCAAAATATGAAAATGTCATCAGGTATCTTGGGAAAGACGTTTTTTAAATTACAGCCAAATCTATGCTTCAGCCAACAGAACTACCAAAAATGAGATCTGCTATGACTCTTTGTACAGAAAAAAATGAGGGTCTCTTAAATATCTTCTAGTCTGAGGGGGGAAATATGGAACTGCAATTTTGTGATAGAATTAAACTGCTCCATTTCCTAATTTTATTACAGGCTTTGTCAGAGGAATGGCTAAACGTCTGCTTATTAGTCCTGATCTCAATCTTTATCTCAGGAGACTTTTATCATAATGAGTGTTAATTCTATGAAATTAATTGAGAGGTTGTTATTTTCATCTCTAAATGGCGTATATTTTTGATTGACTGGTCAATGACAAGTCTCTTCTCATTTTCCACTATAATAAGGCTATGAAAAAGAAAAGAAGTGGAATAGTTGGCCAATTAAGTTATACAATAATGACAAGGTCAAGCCAAAGAGAGTACATTGTGGTAGTTTACAAATTACTAAGACATTTGGGTTTTTCATGCTCCTGACAGAAATTGTAATGAAAATAGAAAGTGACACATGAATCCATTAACTTGACAGCACAATAAAAGGGAGGAGAAATAATTTTAAGCATACAAGTGTACATCAAAATAATTTGAAGGGATCAGAGACAAACCCACAAGAGATTTTTGACTCTTTCCAAAATAAGACAACAGACCACAGAAAATATACATTTCTCATTTCCTTCTAAATCCATGTCTTTTGCAGTTAGTTTCCTGTATGTCAGGGAAGTTTTTCTTTACTATCTCTTCAATATGCTCTATGTCTGAGTAAAAACTTTGAGTCATGCAAAGATGGTTCTATTCACTGAAATCTTGTGATGGTGGTGTAATGAATTTGTGTTGCTTTGCCAAGGAAAGAGCAGCTCTCATCAAGAATGTGTGAAGCTGTGCCAGTAAAAAGTGACATGTTTATAAATAAGGAACAATGTAGTCATATTGAACTTATGCCTGGAAACATCCTGCATATTACATCATTCTGGTTGAACTGTTTTACCCAATAGTCTTATGGGATTCATTTGTTGAAAAAAAAAAACAAAACAAAAAAACAGAGCAGGGCTCCTGTCTTAAAGTTTAACAAAAAAGGTTTGTTAAAAAAAGATTTTTAACACTAGCTGTTTCCAGTGTTTCCTGTAGCTAAGGTAGAATCATACATTGTGTTAAAGAACGATCATGAAGGACCTGTTCATTTTTATCTTCATAAAACAAGAGAAAATATTGTTCCATCTAAGAATGTTATCAAATTATGTATAAGACATCTTCAGACATCTGGGGTACTCTAAATTTTCTAACAATAGAATTAGAACTGTTCATTAAGTATCTTAATATACAGTACCTGCATAGAAAGCTCATATGAATGGATGACATTATGATCTAGCCACAGTGTATTAAGTGAATGGTGAAAGAAGGAAAAAAGTGAGCTTAATGCTGACTTTCCCCCAGATCCTCTCTTCAAAGATGATCCCTAGAACACACAGGGAACTTAAGGGATATTTTAAAGTGTGCTGCATGGGAGAGGTTGTTCTGAACCTGCTGTGCTATACCATCACAATTCACGCTGCACCTTCCCAGAGCCTTTCTTTTGGGCCCGCATTGCAATATTCCCAATGACCATGGGTGGTATAACTCTGCCTACATCAAAGAAATCTCCAGCTGACCTGCTGAAATAACTCTTCATTCTCTTGGCACTGATGGCACAGTACAAAGGGGACAGCCAGGGTCAAGCTTCAATGCTGTGTTAAAGAATACTCTCATAACGATTTTCGACTTAGGCAAATACACCAATCTTATCTGAAGACCCTAGGTTATTTTGCAAAAACAGAACAAAACTAGTTTCTTTGCAGATCTTGACCCCACCTGGCACAGCTAGGTGCTGCCCAAGATCAGGTTCCCAAACAAGGGATCATTTATGTTTGATCATGCCATGGAATCTGTATAGTCTTGCCTGCAGCATGGCCACTGCACCAACACCCAGTTGCTTCCTGAATACTCCAGACTAATATAATCATTTTCCCAGCACCATTGCTCTCTGTTGATGCCTTATGTAAATGTGATGGATTAGCCTTACTGCTACTGTTGCAGTTATTTAAAAATAACAGGATGCACAGCCTTCTGCAAACTGAGTCTGTAACACATCCCATAGAAGCTGACACATTAGGGTGTCATGTTTCAGACTTTCAGTTATCTCGTCTTCTTGTGATAGCAAATTTTGTGGGATTTGACACCTTGTCTTTCAGTCTCTCTCTCACTCTCATCCCTTCTTGCCTTGTGGGAATGAAGAAACTTTCCATTCTATGTCTGAGAAGATCACAGCAGATCCTTCAAGATCTTCCTTCAAGACAGCTCATGAGTTCTCTGGCTAGGGAAGAATGAATTATTGTGCATTTTTTCCTCATTTAATATTAAAAAGGCAATACATCTATTTATGTATTGTCAGCAAAATTCATCAACTTCATCCACATTTTGTGTATCTCTTCACTGAGCACAACTGCTATCCCCAAGTAGTATTTGATAATATTTTTCTTTTAAGATATGCTGTTATCTCTAAGGAAAGGATATTAATGTGCTGTCTGCATGTCTCTTTATGAACTTGAGGACCTGATCAGGGTAAAGATCAAGTATCACAAAAGTTTACAGCTGCAATAAGTCTGATTTTCTTTTTCAGCCTAGGAAACTTCTGGGAGTATTAAAAACATGCATGATAAGCTCTGGCCTCTGGATCACAGAACAGTTGAAGTGGGCAGGGACCTCTAGAGATCACCTAGTGTGAATACCTGCCTAAAGCAGGATCAGACTACAGCAGGTTAGTAAGGGCATGGTAAGTTAGATTTTAAGTATCTGCAAGGCTGGAGACTCCTAACCCCCTCTGGACAACCTGTTTCTACATTTGATCACCTGTACAAGGGAAAACCTGTTTTTCTTATCTTCAAATGGAATTTCTATTATTTCAGTTAATGCAGATAGCCTCTTGTCTTGTCACTGGACACCACTGGGAAGAGTTTGGCTGCAACTTTTTAACTCCTTCCCATCAGATATTCATACACATTGGTTAGATCCCCCTGTGCTTCCTCTCATGCAGGCTGAATAGTCCCAGCTCACAGTGTTTCTTCATGCAGCAGATACCCCTGTCCATCAGTCATCATCATGGCTCTTTGCTGATATTTATTAATGTTGGGAATCTATGTTACCAAATTAGAGACCAGTTAAGATCACACCACAGGCAAGACTGCCTTTCTCTGGAAAGAAAGGGACTTCCCTCAAGCTTTCTAGATTGTAAAGGATGGGATTTCTACTTTTGAATGGGGAAGTTTTCCCATTAACAATTTCCATGTAAATGCTGTTCTCATAAAACCATGATCTATACTCTGATAAATGAATTCACCCATGGTTTCCCTAGAGTAAAGAGGCATAGTTTAGGTAATACTTTTATCAATACCTTATTTGATTGTATTTTAAAAGTAAGTACTTTCCCCTGCAAACATAGAATAAGAGATAGAGTGCAAAGTCATCGCATAGCGATAAAAAATGCTTCAACTGGCAAAAGAGTTGGTTTGCAGTGTTTCTAAGACATAGACTGATGGCAATAATGATCTGTCATAACATATATCTTCAGAGTAATTTCCCTCACACTTATGCCAGATGTCAGAAACTTAATACAGAAGAAGAAGGTATGAGTAGAACAGTAGATGGCAGAATCACATACACGACCCAAGCTTTCTGACTCTTAGTCTTCCTGCTGAACACTGTCCTCTTGTACTCATTCTTTGAATTATTTTTTCATAAATAACGTTATCTAGATGCTTACTGAGTACTCAATTGTGTTTTCACAGCTACTGGACTGCAGTAAAGAATATTCTATCCTTAGATTCTGCAAAAGAAAAGTTGGATCAGTGTTGTCTGAAGGACCAGTCATAAGGCTGATAAAGAATGCAAAAAGGCAGCGCATTGCAATTCTCTGTCATTGCTGGCTTCTTGAGCATGAGCTGACACACACCATGGACTTAGAAGATACAATGATTGAATTGTGCAGGGTGGAGGGAAAAGATGTTGGGATTCTATAATCCTACAGTGTCCCTAGCAGTGACTAATATAAGACATTAAAATTCACTATGAATTAGAACTCATGGTTAAATGTGTTCAAGTTGTTTTGTCTCTAAAACATGTTTTATAGGACTTTTTTATAAATAATAACAGAATATGGCATAAAAAATGTCACAAGCCAGTGTCACTGTATAGCATGAGGTATAATTGATGCACTGTAACAGAGAAGGCAAAAAGTATGCCCAAGGTCAAATTTCTCACAAAATTGACTAACAGGACAGCAAAAGCCGTGGAAAGAACTGGAAACACTGCTTACGATAGATATTTTATTTATATTCAAATATGCTGCCACTTTTGTACCCTTACTAAGCCTAACACACAATATTTGCAAATCATCTGTTTCTCCCATTCTTCAGCTCAGGATTCTTTATTGCTATTTTCTTGTCCCACATACAATCAGTAATTTTAATTATTTCCATTATCATGTACTCAGTCAGCTAAGAGTTGAGTTTCAGTAGGTTAGACTGAATCCAGTTTGCTTTCATTATTTTCTATTTGTTCCACTTATTGGAAATTGTTCTCTGTTGTGGTTATTATTTTTCATTAAGTTCTTTGGATTCTATGAATCCTTTCTTGGAATACCCAACAATGCACATTTTAAACTAAGTCTCTTTTCACTAGTTATTCCATGCCTTTAGTTTTCACTGCAAAAAAAACACAGCCCAAATAAAAACATGGTCTAATTCCTCTATTCTAAAAACTAATACTTAGTACCCATTTTCCTTAAGAATCACTGGGGGAGAGATGCCTGCCTTCCTCATGCAACTATTCTACCATATTTCTTTCTTCTCCTCTGCTACAATAGGATTTATTGATATTGGAGATGTCTTCTTTTTAACCTCTTCATGCAAAGTTTGTGCATGCATTACCTACCTCTTGCTTACAAGATGGTGTGAGACTGAAAAAATTCATCTGGTTTCCTCAGCAGGTAGAAGCACAGGTGGGGCTTGGCCACAGTCCCTGCTACAAAAGGCAACATAAGACCCTCACGTAAAGCAATGCCTCTTTTGACCCCTCCATGTTGCATTCCCAACAATGTAGAAACTGCCACGGATCTTTCACTTTTCCCCAGGTATGTGAGATACATGAACCTTTGTGGTTGTTCTCTTCCTTTATGTGAATGCTTTCTGAGTGCTAAATGGCTGTCTATACAGCTTGTTTTATCTGCTTTTGAAGTTCAGTGGGCCTCTATGCACCTGCTGCCTAGCTACAAAAGTCTCTGTGTCATCAAACTGATTTCTAGAGCTTGACACGGATAAAGAGCTTGATGGGTAACGAACTGGCTGGATAGCTGCAAAGAGTTGTGGTCAATGGTTCAATGTCCAGCTGGAGACCAGTAACAAGTGGTGTCCCTCAGGGATTTGTGTTGGGACCGGTCTTGTTAAACATATTCATCACTGACATGGACAGTGGGATTGAATGCGCCCTCAGCAAGTTTGCTGATGACACCAAGCTGTGTGGTTCAGTTGATACGCTGGAAGGAAGGAATGTCATCCAGAGGGACCTTGACACACTTGTGAGGTGGGCTGATGCCAACCTCATAAAGTTTAACCATGCCAAGTGCAAGGTCCTACACCTGGGTCGGAGCAATCCCAAGCAGAGCTACAGATTGGGAGGAGAAGAGATTCAGAGCAGCCCTGAGGAGAAGGACTTGGGGGTGCTGGTCGATGAGAAAATGAACATGAGCTGGCTTCAGTGTGCACTCGCAGGCCAGAAATCCAACCGTATCCTGGGATGCATCAAAAGTAACATGACCAGCTGGTAGAAGGAGATGATCCTGCCCCTTTACTCTGCTCTCGTGAGACCTCACTTGGAGTGTAGTTCTGGTGTCCTCAACATAAAAAGGACATGGAACTGTTGGAACAAGTCCAAAGGAGGGCCACAAGAATGATAAGGGGACTGGAGCACCTCCCATATGAAGATAGGCTGAGAAAGTTGGGGCTGTTCAGCCTGGAGAAGAGAAGGCTGCGTGGAGACCTCATAGCAGCCTTCCAATATCTGAAGGGGGCTTATCGGGATCCTGGGGATGAACTCTTCATTAGGGAATGTAGTGATAGGACAAGGGGTAATGGGTTAAAACTTAAACAGGGGAAGTTTAGATTGTATATAAGGAGAAAATTCTTTCCCGTTAGGGTAGTGAGGCACTGGAATAGGTTGCCCAGGGAGGTTGTGAATGCTCCATCCCTGGCTGTGTTCAAGGCCAGGTTGGACGAAGCCTTGGGTGATATGGTTTAGTGTGAGGTGTCCCTGCCCATGGCGGGGTGGTTGGAACTTGATGATCTCGAGGTCCTTTCCAACCCTAACTATTCTATGATTCTATGACATCTCCCCCTCTTGAACTAGTGCAAGACAAGGGGCCTGGTAGTCCCCCTGCATTGTAAAATGTAGCCATAACTCATAGCCTAAGCAGGAGTCTCTCCAGACTGTATTCACATGAGGGCTGGTTCCTCAATCAGACATCTTTAAACAAATTACTCCACTAACATGTTGCAAGTCCCTTGCCGATCTTATAAAAGATAAAAATTCCCATCTTAGCTGCCAGGGGTTTTTCTTAGCATAACTGATTTGTTTCAGTCTGTTTATCACAAGCTTTACATCTACTATTTAAAACAGAATGTAAAGTACACAGGTTATTTATAAAATATCTTTTGCAAAGTTGGAAGGCTTTGGTGATAAGTACTGGGTCATTGCTTATTCTCCAAGCAGTGAAACTTTCCTCAAGGAACAGCACTCTTTGTCATAGCTCCCATGGTTTTCTATCATCCCATATAATAGTAATTCAATATCTATAACAAGAAATAAGAGGTAAAGGTGGATTCTATGTAAGTGTAGTAAAAAGTCCTCAGAAATAATTGGTTTAATTAAGGAAGTTGAAAGAGTGCAATGGCAATGCACAGCTTTATCTTGTTTCAGAGCAGAGACAACATTGACTGGCTAGAATTAGCACAGCAGAAATCATCTCAGATAAATAATGAATGTCGCCATTGAAAGAATTATCTTCTGTGTGACAGTCAACAAAGCATGAATGGAAACTCGGTGCAATAAAAGTGGAAGAGAGCAGATTCGAGAGCAGATTCAAGAGCAGAGACACATTTCCGTGCAGATATTGGTACTGTTTTGATGAGAGGTAGTTTCAAGCCAGAAGTACTGGGTGTGCCAGTAATGATTCAACTCAGTCCTTTTCTTATCAAACTGCAAAATGAGGTCATTGGAAGCAAGAAATGGACAAATGATGGAAATTCCCTGTAAACGCCAGTGAATCTTGATTATACTTTCAGCTCAAGGCACATTCAAACTTACGAATGCATTGAGACCTTGAATGCAGCTTGGTTACTCCAGATGTGCAGAACTGGCCAGGAGCTGCTGTGAGGGGTACAGTGGAAAGCACCAAATTCCACACACTGGAATGCATGTGTAGAGGAAATACATACATTTTTATAGCTGTCTGAGATACTTTAGTTTTGCATTGGTATTCAGTAATTAATGTTAAATAGAATCTCTAAAACTTGGAAACTATATTTTTTTCAAATATAATACTTTGCTAGTTCAAAAGCACAACTGCCTTTTTTTTTTTTCTGATCATATTCTTCCTCCTTGAAGGCCTGCTGTTAATATTTCACTATCTTTTTAATTGTCCACATCTATTGGCTTAAAAATTGAGCTTGTGAAACATTGGTCTTTAATTCATACTAATTGCAACAGAACGATAACATAATCATAACATAGCAAGAACGGGAAATTTGTATTAATCAGATCAGGTCAGTGCTGTACAGCTGCAAGTAATAAAGTCTCTCAAACTCCCATCACTTCTCCCAGGAATTACTGCTTTGTTGGCAGCAGCTTGCACAAAAGAAAACCCAATTGCTGTGTTTGTTTTAACCAGGAGTGCCATTGTAATGCAATAAAGTGCTCTGCAAAAGAGAAGTTGGGTCAGTGTTGTCTGAAGGACCAGTCATAAACATTAACTTGAGAATTTCCTAAGCGAGTCAAAACTGATAGTGATGGGCTAATTTACAAATGTGAGTTTCTGACAAGATGTTCAATTTATGTCCCATAAACGGTGCCACTTGGCAAGAGAGAAACAGATGAGAAAGGGCAGGAGGGAGTGTTTAAGTTTCTATGTCTCTTTAAAGGGGAGGAAAGGGCAATTTAACTTTGAGAGTGTGCTAAGAGGGTTAATTCAGGAGAAGTTCTGCAATTTATTCTCCTTCTCTGTAATGTTGGACCTTAGGGCTTAATGTAATGGAATGTGATTTAGAGTTCTGAATGTGCTAATTTCGTAATTCAGGTGTCCTGTGGAGAGGCTGTGTTCATGCCAGCTGTCTGGGGAATTAAGTGCAGCTGATTTGTGTTGGGAAAATGTGCAGTTTGCTTCAGGCCAAAATTGTTGTAAAATTTAAACCAGTGCATTTTTTCTCTCTCCTTAATTTAAAGTATGGGATACAAGAGGGCCTGAGGGGAATTACCAAGGGCTCCCACATACATCCTGGTGTTTAGTATCGAAAATTTTTGTATTGTTAAATTATCGCACTTGATAACCAGCGTAAACCAGTTTTATTTGTAGCACAGCTCTTCTATTTTCCTTTGCTTTTGCCTTGCTTTGGGTGTTCCGTCTTCATCAGACACTAATTACAGTAGGATTTTGAGTCTCATGCTCTCTGCAAGCATGAGATGTCAATCTAATGGCCAATCTCTTTGTAAGAAACTCTTGTGTTAAGTATCAATTTGATTTTCTTCCACGATAAGAGATGTGGGGTGGGAAAAAGGTTTCCATAGTATTCTTGAGTCAAACTGAAGATTTGTTGATATTACTGTGAAATTGTGAGCTGACAGTGCCTGCCTACTGTAAGGGGTACGCTCGAGTGTTAGCTCAACAATGTAAGCCAAGTTTGCCAGGTGAATAACACAGCTCTGAATTATTTACTTACTTATTTATTTATTTCAAAATGTATCCTCAGGATATTACAAAATGTAGTTCTGAGAAATAAAAAGCCATGTCTTAGGCTTATGTAAATCAGAGTTACTCCATTTGCTTCAGTGAAGCTATGCTGATTTATGCCAGCTAAAGAGATGGACCACTGTTCCTTAGGCTATAAACATGCTTGTTGCTTTACAGATGATTTTGCATCTAAATGCCATTATGAAACCATAACACCTGACCTGAGAGGTGAAATTGGTTACTTTTATTGAAATCAAAACAATTATATTTCTATCTTTACTGGTTTCCTTCAGCTGCCTTGGGAAAACATTTTAGAAAAGCAGGAAGGTGAAGTTGTCTTTTTGTACATTCTTGCAAGAGTACTGCTTTTTTGAAATACAGCAAAGACCTCTTAAATAGAAATGCTGGTGAATAGCAAATGAAAGGTGCCTGGTTTGTTTTTTCCTCCACCTTCAACTTAGTCCCTTTACCATGCCTTTTTGGAGACAAGTGTAAGTAAATTACTTCAGGTCTCTTAATATTAAATGTGAAATGCTGGGTGGACAGAAAACTCAAAAGATGCTAATAGCAAAGCATGATGTATACAAGAATTTACTCAAACCAGCTTATGGAAGTATGCCAATTCAGCCTTTCAACGCAGGATATCTTTGTCCATTACACACAACATGTTATGTTCCATGTGCTTTTGAGTAACAATATTCTGCATTTGTTGGTTTTGCCAGAGAAGGGTTTGCATCAAGTCCAAAGAAAGCAGTATGTGGAAGTAATGGATGTGCTTCAAAGTAACATTAAGATCAGTCCATGTTATATACAGAACAGATACAAGCTGATTTTTGCTTTGTTCTGTGTAAGCGTGGCTTAAAATATTTTCTACACAAAATCCTTTTGAGAATGCCAGTATGTATGGGGTGTGAGAATGTGGGTACATACTGATATTCCAACTAATATCTGACAGATAAAATTTCATTTCTAAAAGGGCAATGCCTGACACTGTGATGCAAACAGCTTGTTTCAGAGTGGATAAAATAGAAGATGAAAGTTGCCCTTAATGGAAAACAAAATTGTTTAAAATTGCAAAATTATTACTCT